TAGATTTCGATTTTTTTCTGATGGGTGATTGCTTGGTATTATTGTTGCACGTCACAATTGAATCATGTGACCGATCGATATAGCGCTTGACATATCACATTATATAGTACTCGATGAGTGTATATATATCGATTGTGTCATATATTCTAACTTTTAGAGTAAGTTAAAATTGAATTATTATCTAAAAAACTAAATTCTGGAATTTATAGTGATGTTACTATGGGTGGAAATCGAAATTAGGACTTTCGAAAACTGATTTTTTGTCATAAGTGAACAATTAATCTAATATCATTGAAAAAACGGAAAATTCAAAATTTTGAATGAATAAACTTGTTCCAAAATGAGAAAATTTTGCATTGGAATCGGCAAAATTTGTAATTTCTTTATTTTTAGTAACCTAAAATGTAAAATACGTAATACTTTTGATACTATAAATGTAATTATTGAAAAAAAAATGGTTTTCGGAAATCAGTAGACTCGGAAAGTCAAAATCTCATATATATTTCAATCCCAACCCCACAAAGAATAAAAAAACTCAGAAATCGAAAGTCTCGGAATTTGGATTGAAAAATATTGTTCCAAAAAAAATGATCAAAATTAGCAAAAATAAAAAATCCCGTTCCAATTTTCACCCCTATACGTTACTATTCATAAAAATTAAACTGAGGGCAAAACTGGAATCCCACAAACATACCTTAACACTGAAAGAGTAGAGCACCGATTGATCAACGGTGGTGATGTTAAGATGGAGAATATTAAGGAAAATAGATTGAAATCCGGCCACCATTTTAAGGAGCTGACGTGGCCTTCTCTTCGATAGAATCTTGATATTTGCATGGCTCTCCACCATCGTCACCTCCACGTCAGCAATCCTCGACCGCCTCTCCACCGCCGCGGCTGCCGGAGAGTCAATGCCGCACGGCCGCGTGGAGAATTGAGGGAAAGTGAAAACATTAGCAAATACGTCGCCGTTTTGGTGATGTTGATTAGTAGCTGATTTATGGGCTTCGAGAAATTGTAGAAGTTGTTCAAGCTCCTTCACAAAATTAATTGCACCACCAACAGTTGATGCTTGATCTCCCTATTAAATATTTATAAATAATTATGAGTAATTAATTACAAAATTAAATAAAGTATTAATATATAGACTCTCAACTCCAAATTAATTTTGAAGTTAATACACCAGAACATCGATAAATTAATATTTGACAAATTAATAATTTCGATTAAATTATTAATTTTTTCGATTCCCCAGTCGAAAAAAAAGTACTAAATTTTTAATTCGATAATTTAATATTTCACTACTATATTAATTTATAGAGGTTTAATTATAGTATATGTACCAACCCTCATTAGGAGAGTTGGTACCTAGCCTTTACCAATAGGGTAACGGTCTAGGGTTCGAGTCCCCCCTCCCCTACTTCCCCTTGTAATGGACTTGAATTTACTCAAAAAAAAAATGATAGTATATGTGTATTTAAAATTATAAAAATAATTGACTACCTTATTCAAATTTTATTCGTGTCAATTTTCCAATATTGCGGGGTCCGGCCA